TCGCTCTGTCGCCCAGGCTGGAGTGCAGTGGCCGGATCTCAGCTCACTGCAAACTCCACCTCCCGGGTTTACGCCATCTCTCCTGCCTCAGCCTCCTGAGTAGCTGGGACTCCAGGCGCCCGCCCACCTTCGCCTCGGCTCAGTTTTTTTTTTTTTTTTTAGTAGAGACGGGGTTTCACCTGTGTTAGCCAGGATGGTCTCGATCTCCTGACCCGTTGATCCGCCCGTCTCCGGCCTCCCAAAGTGCTAGGATTACAGGCTTGAGCACCGCGCCCGGCCCGAGTTGACATTTTTTAATGTAAAAAGGGCACTGGGGATGCCCAGGGAGAGGATGAAAGGCAGGCGATGCGGAGAGGCTAAGGGAGGAGCCTTCTCTGTTAGCTATCGAAAGGAAGAGATATCTCCCATCTATCTTTAGTACTTTCTCTCTCTACCCTGTACCCTAGCCTTGACCAGGCTACCGTCATCTCATGGAAACTGAGTAGCCTCTTAACTGGCCTCTGCACTTGACGTCACTGGGACGTGTCTCTTTCCCACTGACAGCCTTTCCATGGCTTCCCATGGCTCTTAGGGTGGGGTCTAAAGTGCTTGCTCTAATCTTCCAGGTCTGAGGTGGTCTGCTCAGCACGTCACCCACACGCCTCCCACAGTGCCTTCCCACTCCCTCCCCCTTCTCCTGCCCCCGTTATTCTTTCTGACTCCAGGCACATCTAGGCCACTTTCCACCCCAGGGCCTTTGTACAAGCCAGTTCCTTCTTTCACGAGTTCTCTGTGTATCTGACAACCCTGGTTCTACAGGCCTTTGATTCAATGTCGCTTTCCCAAAGAGGCTTTCCTTCATCACCCAACTATCCAGGGCAAGCTTCTTTAGTTCTCTTTTTCATCATATCCTGAGGTCTTCCTCTGTAGCTCTAAGTATTGCCTGTAATCATCTAATTGTTTTCTTGTGAGCACAGGAATCTTGTCTGTCCTGTTCACCACTGCATCCAGGATGCATCAGTGTGTCGTTGTAAACACAGAATTATCATATGACCCAGCAATTCCACTCCTAGGCATGTACCCCGAAAGATTTTAAAACAGATATTCTAACAAAACTTGTTTATAAAAATTCATAGCACCGCGACTCACAACAGTCAAAAGGTGGGAGCAACCCAGTGCACTTTACCTGATGATGGATAAACACAGCGTGCTATATCCATGCAGTAGAGTATCACCCAGCAGAAACGAATACAGTCCTGATACAAGGTATACCATGATGAACTTTGGAAATACTACGCCAAATGAATAAAGCCGGATGCAAAGGGCTACGTAGTGTATGATTCCATGGGTATGAAATGACCAGAATAGGGGAGTTCTCAGAGACAGAGTAGACTAGTGGTTGCCAGGAGCTGGGGGAAGAGACGGTGTCATTGGTACAGAGTTCCCTTTGAGGATGATGAGAAGATTCTGGAAACAGATTAGTGGTGATGGCCGCACAGTATTGTGAGTGCACTGGAAGTCACTAATGGTTAATTGTATGTTGTGTGTGTTGGGCCACAAGTCCTAAGACCTGTGAAAAAAATGATCAAGTGAATGTATAAAGGGAGTTCCTCCTGCCGGGCATGTCCCTGTCATTTACAATGTGTTTCCTTGCCCGTGTCAGGCAGTGGCTTGCAATTAAGGGTGATGAACTTGGGACTTCTCATGCAATTCTGGGTGTCTATGATTGCAGCTTCCAAATCCACCTGTGTTCCTTACCTCACATGCCAGGCAGCTGGGATGAACCTCCCCCAGCCCCACCCCAGCGGTGTGAAAAGCCCATTCCCGACCGTAGCCTACCTGATGTCCAGTTCCGAGTTACAGTAGTGGCAGTAACACTTGGGAGGAACAAGTGAACCGGGAACAGAGAAAGAAACAGCTGGGGTGAGGCGAGTGAATTCCTTCCTTCCCTCCCTTTCTCCCCATCCCCCTCTCCCTTCTTTCCTGTCCTCCCTGTCTGCTCTTTCCCTCTGGTTGTGACATCCTGTGGTCTTGCTTCACTATTCAGCCCGCCTCTCACCACTCCCACCTTCTTCC